TTATATAAAAGGTTTGGGCGAATGTGGGTCAAATTTTTATTTTTATAGTTTCCTTATTTATTGCTCTATTTCAGATTATACAATGCATACGTAAGCATCTCTGTAACGATCCAGCCACATAGTTCATACTTATTTAACACAAATGAAGAAGCTCTAATCAAAATCACAATATCTCAATACACTAGCTAAACTAATGTTGTTGTTATACTTGGCTACGCTTTACCACATGAGCACAATCGTATTTTCCGCGAATAACTTTTAACTTGACACCTGGAACATCCCGGCAGCGACCACACCTGACCAACACGATGTTGTGTTCTTGGAGGTTGTGGCCTTCTCCAGGTACGTAAGCCACAGCTTCTCGGCCATTAGACAGTCGGAGCAAAACGCACTTCCTGTTCGCAGAGTTTGGTTTTTTCGGTTTTTTTATCAGTGTTTTTAAAACCACCCCTTTCATTTGTGGTCTTCCATCTAGAGGGCGCTTTTTCTTCCGCTTCTTGATATGTGGCCCATTTTTATGTAAACGGAGTAATGTTGTTCTCATTCGTACAGTCCCAGCAGAAGGCTGGCTTTGTCTTGGGGGGGCCAATAGAGGAGTTAAAAAAAGCGAAGATTTAAACGAAAAACCTGGTGCACTTTTCCAAAAAAAATCTGATGTGCAGATTCCGGAGTTAAAAAGAAAACAAGGCTGATAAAATCTATACGAAGACAAGGTTACTGCAGAAGGGATCGTCAGAGATGAAGATGATGGAAAAACTCCTGCAACAATAAAAACAACATAAATATATATATATATAACGTATTTCGGATACCAAGTTAAAAACGAGAATAAACGAGTAGTTAGAAAAAGTGTCCTTAGGACGCAGAATTATCACTGTACTTCACACAATAATGCTAAATTTTATTGGTACAAGAATATGATTTAGGGTTCGCAATACGTGATACAGTGATGTTCATACAGTAATAAAATAGGTTAGAAATATATTTTTTTTAAACTATGCTTATTATTTATTAATGTATAATATAAATGACCCTGAATTACATGAGTTTTGTTTGTTTGTTTGTTGTTCAGCACAAAGGTACAAAATGAGTAATCTGTGCTGTACCCACCACTGGTATCAAAACCCGGTTTTTAGCGTTATAAGCATCCACACTTACCACTGAGCCACTGGGATGTGAATTAGAATAAAAAATACACTTTGGTTAGTTACTAATAGTATGCAAGTATTTGAAAAAAAAAATACGTTATCCATTTCGGGGCTATGGATCTGAATCGTCTTTACTATACTTCTCTATTTAGTAACAACTTTTTTTTTCACTGATTTATTCGAAACACTAAAACAGTTAAAATATTTATTCATCACAGTCATAATCCACACGTCAAACAATAAAAGTATAATTTAAAGCGACATGTGACGAAAATACTTACAATAATAAATAAAATGTGTATTGCCTCATTGCTGGCCAACTTGAATTTGATGATGTTTTTCTATATTGATTTTGCCGTACACAAGGTCGCATGACAGTGAAAACAACACTCAACGGAACAGCCCACCTATGGTTTCAGTACTTCAACCAGAAGGCAGCAAATGTTTAATATCGCGTTTATTCACTGCTGCTATGACAACAGATTTTAACCACACGAGTTGCCACACGCGATATCACTGAGTGAAGCTTGATGACCCTATTTTAAACATATCAAAGGGTGTTTTCTAAAAATAAAGAAATCAACTAACAGGTAAAGAAAAAATGGATCTGATTAGGTAACACTTTTGTATTTATGACAGCTACTAAGATATCTTCCGCAAAATCCAAATTTTGAACTACTGACCAGAGGAAAGACAGCCAGTCAGCAGTACCTTATGACCCACCATCCACGCTAAGGGACTGACTGTCACTAATATAACGCACATACACACAGCTTAACTTAAAATGGAGAGAACATGTTGTGGTATCACACGGATTCGAACCCAGCTCACCAGCTCCAAAATCCATAGTTCTACCAAAAGGTCAACGGTGTCCAACTAGGTTGAAAATGGGTAAATTGATGATAAAAAAATGAACCACATATAAACAGTTCATAAAATTGTGTTAAAATTTCCATTATATCACAGATGCAGATAAATCACCTTAGTACAGTAGCCCAAGACACACTATGCAATGGTTACAAATACAAAAATGTAAATAACCAAAAGTATCTAAAAATGTTCAGAAACAGAGTGATACTTAATAACTTGTATTTTGGGTAACAAAAGTATCCCTCGTTATTTACCCCAGTGTTGTCTGTAACACTGGTGGTTAAAACCCTTCATTTGAAAAATCACATCAGTAAAATAACCAAAACAGTTTAAAATATATTAACTTAGTTACTTAACAGTTTTATATATATATTATCTTAATTAATTAACAGCTTTATATATATTACCTTAGTTACTTAACAGTTTTATATATATATATTATCTTAATTAATTAACAGCTTTATATATATTACCTTAGTTACTTAACAGTTTTGTATATATATTACCTTAGTTACTTAACAGTTTTGTATATTATCTTAATTAATTAACAGCTTTATATATATTACCTTAGTTACTTAACAGTTTTGTATATATATTATCTTCATTAATTAACAGATTTTTATATATATATATTACCTTAGTTACTTAACAGTTTTGTATATATATTATCTTAATTAATTAACAGCTTTATATATATTCTTAACTAACAGCCTCAGTTATGTTACCTTTGTTAGTCAACAGCTTTGTTTATATATTATTTTAGTTATTTAACAGCATTGTTTATATATTATTTTAGTTAATTAATAGCTTTGTTTATGTTACCTTAGTTACTTAATAGCCTTGTTTATGTATATTATTTCAGTTAATTAACAGCTTTGTTTGTTACCTTAGTTATTTAACAGATTTGTTTATATATTATTTCAGTTAATTAACAGCTTTTATATGTTACCTTATTTAGTTAACAGCTTTTCTTTGTTACCTTAGTTATTTAACAGTTTTGTTTATATTATTTTAGTTAATTAACAGCTTTGTTAATGTTATCTTATTTAGTTAACAGTTTTTTTTGTTACCTTAGTAATTTAACAGCTTTTTTTATGATACCTTAGTTAATTAACAGCTTTTCTTTATGTTACCTTAGTTATTTAACAGTTTTGTTTATATTATTTTAGTTAATTAACAGCTTTGTTTATGTTACCTTAGTTATTTAACAGCTTTTTTATGTTACCTTAGTTAGTTAACAGCTTTTCTTTGTTACCTTAGTTATTTAACAGTTTTGTTTATATTATTTTAGTTAATTAACAGCTTTGTTAATGTTATTTTAGTTAGTTAACAGTTTTTTTGTTACCTTAGTAATTTAACAGCTTTTTTTATGTTACCTTAGTTATTTAACAGCTTTTCTTTGTTACCTTAGTTATTTAACAGTTTTGTTTATATTATTTTAGTTAATTAACAGCTTTGTTTATGTTATCTTAGTTAATTAACAATTTTGTTTATGTTATCTTAGTTAATTAACAGTTTTGTTTATGTTATCTTAGTTAATTAACAGTTTTGTTAATGTATTATTTAGTTCATTTACGGCTTTTTATATATTATTTTACTTAACAACTTTGCTTACAATGCAATCTTAAATGTCACACAGTCAAGTTCGTGGTATTTTTCTGAATTCCTGACACAAAAGGTCGAATGTTTGTTTGTTGTTACAACAGCAACTAAAGAAAGATATGTTCCAGAAACTTCTACTGCTCGCGGCTAGGTGGAGAATTCGATCGGGTCTATCAGTGATTAATACAGCTGTAGAAGCGTGTTCCAATTTGCCTCGTGAGACACCCAGTTATTTGTGAAGAATGTGACGGCGTATTGCGAACGTTGTTTAATCAAAACCCCGCCACAAAGACTACAAATGTCTTGAATTATTTATTTTTCAGCGTTGATATGTTCGAGGTGAGAACGAACCACATGTCAGTAGGCGTGACACGGAAGATAAATACGTGTCAGTAAGCGTGACACGGAAGATAAAATACATGTCAGTAAGCATGACATGGAAGATATAATACATGTCCTTGCAGCTCCTAACCTAACGTTTTTATGTTCATAAGATACATTTATACAGCTTCTGGTAGAAAGCTAGTAACATATACATGACTATACACAACATTTTACGACTGATAAAAACGTAGAGTAACACAATACACTTACTGTATCCCTTACCAATATCTTTGATAAAAAGCAGTCTTACTAAAATACTGGAAAAAGTATTAATGTCTAGGTGTATCGGGAGATTAGACTTTTACAAATACGCATACTAATGCCGATAGTAATTAGAAACATTAAAGGTATTTTATTTAATCATCGCGCCTCAGATTAATCCAACGTTAAGAAAGCTTTATTAAATAAACATGTTATACGTACATTTTCTAAGCAACAGTCCACAGCAGTATGCAAGATGAAAACTAAGTTAGATGTTTAATGTGTGTGGTTTGTTTGTTCACTTGAACGACATCTTTTAAATACATTGTATTAAACAATCAATTCTGAAAGCACGTATGGTTCAGAAATAGCCGTACCTAATTTTCAATTGTGGATCAGAGGGAAAGCAGCCAGACAGTGCCATTCGCCGACCGAGAAGACTATTCTTAATCGAAAAACAAGACTGACTGTCACTCTTAAAATGCATCCACAAGTGAAAGTTCACATTGTGTTCGGTAACATCCCGTCTGGAACCCTACACCCTCAGATCTAGGTTCGTCACACCAACAATTAAGCCACGCTCGTGCTATTTGTGCGCAAGTTTCAGTAAACTACATGAATAATGCGAATGTGGTGTCATCTAGGAGTCGTCTGAAAAACTAACCCACAATTCGATGACGAGGAACCCACTTTGAGACTAATAATGGTTGGAGATGGCTTGAATCAGGTAAATAATGATGACAAAACCTTGTCGAAACGTTGTACATTTGCTGTTATGTTAAACTTATATTAAAGTTTTTCTTCGTTACCCATTCAAGCTGTCTCCAACCATTATTAACCCACAATCGTTTTCAAGTATTTTTTTATATTTGTCACTATAAGGAAAAAACATATTGCTTTCTTTTTATAAATAACTCACACACTCATAAATTCAATACAATTAATACGAACATATGATCACAAATGCCTAACTGTTTTTCAGTTATTTTTAATATGTCAGTTGTTACATGTTCATAAAAAACAATAGTAACAAGTAAAGAAAAAACTTTTCAAAAGGTGAAGTAAATGTAAGGATGGCTAATATCAATCCCTCAAATACAATGCAAACAAGATAGTAGGGATGGCATTTGCATCATCCCTACTTAATAGCAGAGGCACACAGTGTAGTAGAATGTTAACAGACATAAAAATAGGACAAATTAAACTTGGTTGTCATCTCTACTATGTTGTTTGCATTGTGTTTGAAAGATTGATATTAGCCATCCCTACATTTACTTCTTTTTTTGAAACGTTTATCTTTACTTGTTTTGTTTTTTTATGCAATGTTTCAATAAACATAGGAAGGTTGTATTTATAACCAAGTTCTAAACACAATGAGGTTCAAACTGTAATATTTATTGCTTATCTATTATTGGCTGGTAATTCTTGTTTCACCCTGCACTTAAGCTTTTTAAAGAAACATCAAATTTCTGTAAAAAAGCTAACTTCAAGGGGTAATGATAGCATAATTTACACTAAAATTATGATTTTTTATTACTACTGTTTATTAATAATACTTAGAAAAGTGGATACTCCGTTTGAAACTATGTCACCTTAGTGAAATTAGTTGACATCATTGTTTTGATTTACGAGATATCATGTAATAAAAAAGAAGCAGAAGAAAGAAAAACAAGAAATTCAAACTTTATACTATGATATTTACAGACATTCCCAGAACTTGTTACTCAGTCATTACATAGATATTGTTATAAAAGGAAACACTGTATCGTATTGTAAAGTTTTGATGACCTATTAAGGAGATATTCAAAATACCAATTCGATGAACAATCCAAGCCATCCCTACATACGCAGTGTTACCACCTGCCTGATACCATCAGCGTTATAATGCACAAAAAAATAATACTTATTAAGAAATAGTTTCGACAGACATGCTTATCATTCTCAAAGAAAAGAGTGAAACTGTTATCATGTTTCTATGCATAGATAGCTAAGACCATGATGTCATGTACGTTCAGGTTCAAACCAATCCAGAATTGTCAAAGAATGTCTGGCAACTAGGTTATAAAGAAAATGCCTTTCAAATAGGGCCAAGTTCAAAGTACATTTCATTATTGAGCATGTTTTTTAAGTTTGGTTCAGCAACACAAGAAAATCAACAAAAATATTTACCAAATATGGGATTTTAAAGGTGTTTTCTTTCTAAACTAGTTGGTGGATGTTGACAATAATGGACCAGTTTGAACCTGAATGTACAAGACACAGTGGTCAAAGATATCTAAACATAAACCCAAGAACAATTTTATTCTTTGAGAACAACAAGTTTGGTCTGTCGAAACTAGTTGGTTATTTGTGTTTTATTAATTCTTTAAAATTCTGGGCAATATTATGCTGATATGTTTTTATTTTTTATGTATTTGCACAAAGTACTTTTTTAAATGCAAGTTTTTACTTACACAGGCCTGTGAATGTAAACTTCATAAAAGTTGTTTTGGTTTCAATAATGGATTCTCCATAATTTTGCAGATTTTGAAAATAATATTAATTTTTTTTTTCTATCACGTAAGGATTTTTTTACAAATTGGGAAGAAAAAAAACAAACTCTGACTTAGAACAAATTATTATTTCATTTACCATGATTAACATTTTTTATTATTAAGTTTGTCAACAAAAATACAAACAAACTGAAGAAAAGGGAAGAAAATTGATGTCAAACAAGTACGCATCCTCATTCATCCTGATTTTTTTTGTGAAATCTACATCTTTTATTCTCAAAACTGTGTGTTTGGTCTTTCTTTTATGTATTGTGCTTTGAGAATTTCATTTCAATGACCAGCAGTAATAAGCAATCATTCTGATGTCCCACCTTCCTTGATACTTCCTCTCCATTTTCCTGATGTCTTGATTTTCAGGGAAATAGTCAATATGCGAGTGTAAGAAATGAACTTTCAAGCTCATATTACAACCTAACATTTTGAATTTATCAATCATGTTATTGACAATATTTTAGTAATTTGGGTCCTAGCTGTTTCCTAAAAATTTGTTAATAACATCTTTAAAGGCAGTCCACACTTCTTTTTCAACTTTCCTCATTGTCCTTTCACTCTGTTCATCTGAAGTCAATTTCCTAATCTAAGGCCACAAAAATCCCTTCTTTAAGTTTTGCTTCTGAAAGAGCTGGGAATTGCCCACATAGATACTTGAAACAGTCGTCATCTTTGTCTAAGGCCTTTACAAACTGCTTCATCTAGCCCAGTTTTATGTGAAGTGGAAGTAATAGGACTTTCTTTGTGTTAACCAAACTTTCTTGTTCAATGTTTTTCAATCCTGGTATCAGGCTGACTCTGTGCGGCCATTGCTTCTTTATCCAGTGCTGATTTCGTGCTCTGCTATCCCATTCACATAAAAAACACGGAAACCATGTATAACTGGATTGTTGACCTAACAACATACAAAAAACTTTTACATCTCCACAAAAGTAGCCAACCATATTCTTTGTATTTCAGCTTATTAAGAAGCTAGAGATTTTCGAGAACACTTTTTAAACTTCTTTTGGAGGAATCAATGAACAATCACCACTCACTTGGCTCACAGACTGCAGCTTCTAGCATTGGCATTAATTCAGAAATAGTGTTGCAATGAACCAGTGAACCTTTTTATGAAAAATATCATATAAACTCTTTTTCACGATTTCTGCACCAGTAAAATGAAGTTCCTGTAGAAAGTAAGTTCTTAGCTCTAAGTCTGGACCCCAAAATTTATGAAGAATCCTTTGGAAGGCCCAAACCTCTCACCAAATCATTAAGTTCACCATGTGTGAAAAGTCTTGGTTCACCAGATGTTTCAGGTTGAAAATAATCCCTATCATCATTTCTAATGGCATCAGATGAAACTGTATCAAGAGCTTCCGGTGGAGTAGATACAGGTACATCAGGTCTGTGAGCAACAGGTCTTATAGCAGATTAAAGGTTAGAATAAGAAACTTCCTTTTCTATTTTGAGTGTTGAAGCCCTGCATGTTATACGAGCAAGAATAGCAGTCATCTCAATGGTTTCTTATAGGCTCATGCCAGACCATTGGAATTCCAAAAGGCAAAGACTTTTTCTTACCTTTAGTCCATTGTCTTAACTTTTTGACACATATGGTGCAAACTTTGTTCAGAGCCCATGATTTGTCTTGGACCCCAAGTTTCATTCCAAAATATACATAATACACTTTTTTGACAAATTCTGTAATGTTTTGCCTTTGTTTCTTTACAACAAATATAACAGAATATGTTTGGATCGTTTAAACAACTTCTTGCTGCCGTAGTGACAAATAAATAAATAAATGTCTAAGCAAAAATGTGAAAGGAATTTACTAATAGTCTGGCACAAGTATGTAAAAACAAACCCAAGGTTCTTGATATTGTATTTTTAAATTAAAATGAATGGCTTAACATACATTTGTAAATATACAACTATTACTCTACATTACATAACCTTATGTAGAAGTCTATATTTTTCAGTTTTCATTAAAACATTTCATTTACATATTACATCTGTTACAAGGAAATTATGATGTTACTCCTCATGATTAGTACTCCCTACTGTAATGATACTACAGCATAACTGAAATAGAATTACTTTACCTGAAATCTTACTAGAAGTTGTCCGACCAACACATCTGAAGAATGACTTCAAGCAACCAAACATGGACTGATAAAGTGCCATAATAAACCTGCAATACACACAAAAATACTTGTACAAGACTAGTAGCCAAAAGTAAGTCATAATGTTTCTATGAAAATGTTGACAAGTTAAAAACTTTTGGTTGGAGAGCTGTGTGTAATTAACAAGAAACTATTGATAACAGCAAGATACCTGACTCATGAATCAATACATTCTACTCATTAGGAGTTTTTGTTTTATGACATAAAATACTTCAAGTTACACCACTGTACAAAATGAGTTACATTATTTACTAAATTATTTTTTTAGTTCTGATCTATGCAGTTAGCTTGCTTTGATCAGAAGTTATTCATAATAGCCAGATGCAACTTCTTAATTGTTGAAAAAGTCATCTTTGCACCTGTCACCATGATCAGTGCTAACATATTTGTCACATGCAGATTTTCCTTCCAAGATAAAACAATGTTGAAACATTCCACTTGAATACACAAAGAACTCAAAATAATACAAACTGACAGGAAATAATCACTAGTACGATTTGTTCAAACTTCAAAAGAGACAAAATACTTAGCACTCCATGTTAATCAATGAAACTGTGTGCTTATGATTGTATACACATATACAACAGATTCTTCTACTTTATCTGAGTAAATTAACCTCTGAAAAACATGTATGGAACTGATTCATAATGGCTATCAAATTATAAATTTTTCCCACACCAAAATATTGAAAACATTTTTTAATACTTTAAGTTTTACTGTGCTTTTCCTATGAATAATGTAAATTTGTTTCAAAACCTGCTCCTGCATCCATTCTTTATAGCCATTATAATTAGGACATTTATCGTAGTTATTGTTCCTTCTACCTCAATGGACTAAGATAAATTTTTGTATACTTGTAAATCTTTATGAAATTTGATGGTTTGTTATTAAGCACAAAATTACATAATGAGCTATTTGATCTGCACCCATCATGAGTAAAGAAACTCAATTTTACAGTTATATACCCTCAGACTTACCATCAGGCTGCAAAATTATGAAGGACCAGAGTATATAAATTTATTGATTAAGTAGTATATAAACATTATACAAAAAGAATGTAGCACTTCATTACAATCAAAATATTCTGTAACATTTACTGTTTAAAATGCAATCTCTCAAGTAAAATTCTACCACAAATGAAGTGACCAGTATTGTATCTAGATTAAATTTCCATCATATATATTATAACAATAAAAGAAATGTGGGCATTATAAATTAGTCTTATTTGCAATACTTAGAGTTTGATAAAAAAATGTTATTGCAACTAAGGACAAGTATTGTAGAACTAGAAATAACAGAAATCTGATTTGTATATAATGCAGACTTACCATATATTTATTATACATGTCAGATCAATGTTTAACAATCTCAGTGACAATATAAAAGATCCTGTTATTTTTAAAAATTCCATGCCATAATTTTTCTTGTATCTTTGTATAAATTTTGAACAATTCATTACATTTTAATCAGTTCATTTTAATTCATTAAAAGTTTTTGTTTTATGACATTGCATACCATGTTTTAGTTCTCAGACTGGTATAATAAATTATCTCCTTTGTTTACTGGGTTAACTTTTAGTTCTGATCAACATAGGTAGCTTGCTTTGATCACAAGTCTTTGAAAATATTATTGTGTGAATTTTAAATGAACTTTTACTTAGGCCAACTTCTAGTTCTGTTTTTTAACTCTTCTTGTCAGTTAAAATTATACTGCAAAATATATTGAAACTTCTGAAGTGTAATGGGTTCTTTTTTAAGGCTGGAAAGACCACATCACTAAATCACTGCTTCTTCTTATGTTATATTTTCAGTTTTAAAACTGTTCATTCCAATAGTCTGGTTACTGAGAATCTATTATGCATGTGAAGTGCTAACAAACTCTAGCTGTGCTAAGAGATACCTTGAAGAACACATGAACACTTTTCTACCTTCTATTTATATCCAAACTGAATTTAGTTGTCATTAAATTAACTGCTGAAAGTAATTAACTGTTAATTTAAGATCACTTACCTTACAATAAATGTGTCACTCTCTGGTTAAGTATAACAACACAAAGTCCAATGCTTCTGTCCTTTTCAAATCAAACGAGTTCCTTCAAAAACTGTAAAGACTTGCTTACATGTAGCACAGAAACATTGTTTCTTCTCAATCCAGGAACAGACTAATTACAAAAACTTTATTAAAATACAACAATTATGAACTGCCAAAACAAAAACTCCCTTTAGATAAATAGTTTACTTTCAAAACTGTATAGTTTTACAGATACATATTTTAAACTTTTACTTCTCATATAAACTATACCATAGAATACTACATGGTCACTAAATATTACTGCTGCAAACTAATTTTCATAAAGAAACCTGCAATGTAATGCCAACCACATCTGTCATTCATATAATTTCATAACTAGATACGTGTGTCAGTTTCTTTGTTTGTAGTTAAGCACAAAGCTACACAGTGAGCTATCTGTGCTGTACTCACCACAAGTATCAAAAGCATGTTAGCATTAGAAATCTGCAGAATGGCTGCTGTGCCACTAGTGAGCACTTGTGTCAGAAATTTTCAAATATTTTTCTCATAAATGGGTCCAATTGATATAAAAATGATAGAAATAATTTTTGGGCAAACCATTTTTCACAAAGAGGAAATTACACAATTTCATAATTAAATGCTCATATCAGAAACAACTTGTCCCAAAAGCAAAGTCCCTTTTGGTAATAGGTAAAAGTCCAAGTAATAAAATCATAAACAAAGGTTTAAAGCAAAGAAAGCATAACAAAAAATTAAATGGGTTGTTAATATCTTATTGCATAAACGGTTATTCCCTGAAAGTTTAAAAATTTTATACTAAAATGATATAATAACATACATGCAAAAAAAAAGTAGTAACTACAAAGCAAAGCAGTTTCCATAAGAAAAAACAACAACCTGAAATAGACCAACCAATACGCTTAACTTCAGAAATATCTTAAAAACTCAACATCTTTATGTGTATATGTCCAAATAGTATAGAAATGATGCAATAATTCTAAAACAAACTGGTTTTCATACAGAACAGGTTTGTAAATAAAACAGATATTCTGGCAAATAATATAATTCCATAATTGTCTGACAGGAACAGCATGCCCCAGCAAACTATTTTCACACAGAGAACCTATATAAGGTACACTACTGTACATAAGCCAATAATTCATTTATTGATTATGTAATAATAATGTTGGAAACAGTTTGTCTCAAAAAGTTTTACACCTTTTTCTTATTAATACATGTACAAAGAATGTAAAAATGAAGTTGGTACAAAGTCGTTTTCACAGAAAAAATAGTAACACCACATTTAGATATAAATATAATCCAAAATGTTAAATTTCAAAACGATCTTTCAACAGAAAAGTGTAGATTATGTAAAATTAACTCAAAAAAAGAATATAAAATGCTTAAAAATTTCTGTGAAATAAATTTTCGGTAAATTAAGCAGTTGTAGCAAATTATATTTGTAGTTTTACTTACAAATACATTTAATGATAATTAATACAGTCTATATAATCCATAACTGTATATTTTATATCATCCTTAATATTAATTTATTACATTGTTTCTAGATTGTTTTTATATACATGTAGAATTAGCTTCATTAATCTATAAACTACTTTAGTTTGGTCTACATAGTACACTTAGTTTTGACCAGACATTATTCATAATCTTTGATCCTAATGTAACACAAAACTTCCTTGTCCACCTTTCCAATTTCATTGATTTACCTCACAAAACTGATTTGTAAATATTTCATGAAAGAAGTTTCCTCTATTATGCAGTTTAAAAATTTAGGTATGATAGGTTTTTTTTCCATTTCTGTAATGCTGCTGTAAGAAATGTATTATATTAATAAATAAAGATGGGAACACACTAACAGAGTATGACAACATGCTAAAAACACAACAAAATTGCATGTTTTTGATTTTTAAATAATATATTTTCTAACTAACATTACTACTAGTGCCATTTTTTCCTTCACATTTTACAGTTACTTAGCACTACCATCAGACATTGTTCAGCAAATATCACTAGCTTCATACAATGCAGGGATATTTGTTCTTTGATTACTGCTGAACATACCATAACTTACTATTTAAAAATGCAATTTTTGAATAAATCTTCATAAAAAAGTATTTGAATGGTAAGTATCTAATTAAAAAGTTTACACTGAGAAAAAAAGAAAAATATGGACTTTCTTTCCCCTACAAAAAATGGAGAATGGTTTTCTTTGTGATAATTTCAATATTTTTGTTTTTACTTTCAGCCATTGGACTCAGCATCATCTGGTCAGCCTTACTACTACTACTAGTCAGTAGTAGAAGATATATATCTTGATGTGATTCAAATGCATGAGATAATGACCAAGACATTTGCACTACCATTTAATTTTAATCGTGAAAGCCTGTCACAGATGAGTGCACTGCTAATATGACAGTGCTGGTCCTAGAAAAAAACAATATCTGAAAGAAATATTTTATTTTCAACTTATGGTGACGTATTAGCTCTACTATAAGGGCTGATACTTATCATCTCTACTGTCATTAATAATACAAGTGACATACATATTAAATAGTTAAGCTATGGATGCAAGCCAAGGGAATTTATTGTTCATTTGATTTTGACTTTGAGGCATTATAGTACTTATTCTGAAATGTTCATTGGAGTCTTAAGCGTTTTAGAAGATTACTAAAGTCCTGGAGAATGAGTGTTGCTAGATTAGTACTTAATTATTTAATTCCTTCAGTAAGCTCACGTTCACAGATCTTAAAATTTAATATCAGCCATTGTTATAAGAACATACCTTTTGGAGAATAACTATAAATAAGCAGAAGGTATAACACAGTTAACACATATTCTGTAACTTATATAAATGTTCATAAAATTCAAAGTTAAAACTCCACAACAGTTTTACATTACAAGCATGAAAACCCAGTCAGAATACAGTGCCCTCTGAACTGTAAAACATAGAATGTACCATATTTTTGTTATACATATAAATAAATAAACTGTATAAAGAAAAAAAATAATAAAATGCTATCAAATTATAATTTTGAAAAACACAGAATGTATATTACTCCATAGTATACTTTTTTCAACTATTATTTTAATCACAAGCAAACAACTGTTTTTAAGGGTAATTTTATGAAAAATACCCTTAAAATAAAAACGAAAATTAAAAAGCGAAACAAAACCAGATATAAATTCGAATAAAACGTGAAACCTAATACTGAATTGAGTAAAAGTATAAAAATGAATAAAATCCTCGAATAATTACAAAAGCGCGAATTTAAAAACTTATATTTTACGAAAGGTGAAAGGCCAGTGACAGAACGTTTGTCAGTTATTCTATGCAAAGAGAATGACAAGCTTGGCCTGTCGAAGCTAATCGAATTTTTTACGTCTTCTTAATTACTTCATCATCTGTGCAATATTATGTCGATGTGTTATTAATGTTTTTTTTTTCGTGACTTTTTACACAATACTTCTTTGATAAAAAAAAATATTGTTTTGTTTTCCTGTTGGTTAAAGCAAAAATATATACTTTCTTAGTTATGTGACAATTATCTTAGTTCCATAGAAGTTCTGTCGGGCGATATATCATGTAGTTCATTATATGCATATTATTTTTCAATTTCTTGAATTCCACTAATTATGCTGTCATTAAATTGTTTGTTTGTTTTCGTCAGTAACAGCAAAGCTACATAATGGGCTATTTGTGTTGTGCCCACCACGGGTATCGAAACCCAGTTTATAATATTATATTGTTTCGTCTCCATTCGTTAGTTAATTTTCCGTAACTTTGTTCCAACGAAACTTTAGCTACACAAGTCCTTTCTTAAATAAAACTGGTTTATTCTTTCTGAATATAACTTTGCGATACACTTAATTTCAACAGTCGCGCTATAACAACGAACGTCTCACGTGCTCAACTTCAATAATACTCTCTGACTGCAGTTCAATTACTCACTGTCTCTCCGTCGCTTCGTGGCCAGTCTTATATATACAAGACTACACTATATCTAGTAATCCCCCGACAATTCACAAAGGTTCGAGAATGACGTGGCGTGTTACTAGTCACGTGACTTCGATGTCGCAACACTGCCCCGTCCTTGGTATTGTTCGGGACGAACAATAGCCACTTACATTAAACTAATAACAATTAACAATAACTTAATTAAATGTACAGAATTACAAACACAAAATTACATTTCAACAAAGTCTTTTAATTTTACGGGATGTATCTTCTTCCGTACTGGTTTCCGTCTCGTTGGCTTCTGCTTCATCAGGAAATGTCCTATCATCAATATCTGTCAGATCAGTTGTAGTAACTTCATCAAGAGCTTCTCCGATTCCCTTCTCAAAACTGAGTAGAG